TGATCACACCCTAACTTGCTCATCTTCTCCATATTACGATAGATGTATTCCGAAGGCCTGGAAATTGAGGAACGGATCTACCCTTCCCCCTGCCCTCCGCTGCAACTAACACCTGCTGCAATGTGACGGAGCAATTTAAATCGCCTGCAGGTGGCGAGGTGACTGGGCAGCATGTTAAGATTAATTACTGGGTGTGGTTTGAAATGGGGCGGTTCTGTTGCATGAAGCCCCACCCACATTTATTAAGGTCATGTTGCCCCTCCATCACTGAAGTTTTCAATACAAGGACTGTCTGTTGTCCATAGCCAACCATATTTCCCCATTGTATTGGGAGAATCTCTATTGGTCGAACTCGATGGACTTGTGTCTTTTGTTTCAACCTGACTAACTATGTAACTATGTCGTGGGGAATCTGGCCACACAGACAGTTCTCCTTTCAGTTTCACAATTGCAGCTTTTGTGTTCCTGTTGGCACATTGCTCCCACCGCTTTGCCGTCTTATTTATTACCTGCCTGTGACGCACCTTTTGAAGCATTTACTTGAAATGTATTATTAGGAAAAATAGACCTGTGCAGTACATCTCTGTGATACATGGACACTTCCCCATCTTCTATCCCTTACAGACCACCCCAAGCACAGAAAATACCTCTTCATCTGCCAGACAATCCAGCAAGCTCCTTTCTGCTTTGAGATGACAACACACGGGGGGGGTTTATGAAAACTGGAGCAGATTTGCACTGCAACCAATCAGCTTCTCTCTTTCATTTTCAAATCTCACCTGGGCAAACTGATGAGAGATGCTGATTGGTTGCCACGGGCAACTGCTCCAGATTCAGTTTGCTCCAGTTTTGATACTTTCACCCCACTGTCTCTGCTGCACTGAAATCCCACGCTGTATTGTCGGCCCCTGCTTGAGTTCTCCTATGCCGGACTAGAGAACACCTCATTTCCACATTATAAAGTGAAGGAGTTCTGAATTCCAGCACAGGGGAACTGGGCAGGGCTGACACCAATGCCTGGGATTTCAGTGCAGCAGAGTCCAGGTTGTCACTACAGGAAGTTAAAAGCTTACTGGCGGGATCATTTATTTCTCTGTACTTGCAGTGTTTTACAAGAGGCAGCACCTAGGGGAGTGTGCGTGTATCGCAGAGGTGTGCTCAGCGATTTTATTTTGCCCAGACATGAACTTTATAGAGGATCTCGAGGATAAACTTGTCACATTTTATTGAAGGAAAATGGGTTTAGAATATTCTTATCTCCATTATTAACGCTCATGTTAGAGCCAAGGGCCGGGTTATATCTGAGCATTACCTGCAATGCGCTGTACTGAGATGGGACGCAGGCCAGGCGCTACCGCAAGGCAAGCGGCCGCCCGAGGGCGCTGCAGGGACTAAATGATCCCGCCAGGGTGAGGGCGGAAAAAACAGGGCATTGTGACAAGTACTTGTACTTGTCAAAATGCCCCGATGTTTGCGCTATGTTTTGGTTTTTTTTCCACTTACCTTCGGCGCGTGAGAGCAGCGGCGAGTCAGCGCTGGCCCAGTGGGAGGAGCTCCAGGTGGGTTCCTAATTTAGCTGGCCAGCGACTGCCAGAGGATCCCGACACGCGCGGCACCTCAGGCAGTCGCCGGCCAGCTAAATTAGGACCCCACCTGGAGCTCCTCCCACCGGACCAGCGCTGACTCGCCGCTGCTCCCCCGCACCGAAGGCAAGTGAAGAAAAAAAAACCATGCTGATAGGGAGCAGGCCCATCGCTACAGGGGGTCGGGGAGGGGGCGCAAAAATGCAACTTTGCCTGTCCAGGCAAAAATCCTAGCACCGGCCTTGATGGGACGGTTGTTGGGTTGGAGGTATCACTACATTAGAATGGTATGTTCCAGTACGCGTCCTAACTACCAGCACGCTGCTGATCTCAGACTAGGCCTCAGGCCTCAGACAGCCCTTGGTTCTACTAGGAAGGTGAACGAGGATGAAAGTAATTTCTTCTCATTAATAAAACGTAGCCCATCACTTCTATAGCAACTTGCAGCATGAGCTATTTTGGCTAAATTTTGGGATAGCATGCTAATGGCTCCCTCCACTGTGTGCAAGAAGCTCGCTTTAAAGTGACCCCGGCACCACGGGGGTTACTTGTACTCAAAGGACTCCTTGCAATAGGTCAGGCTCTATACCAGGGGTAGCCAAACTCCGGCCCTCCAGCTGTAGTGAAATTACAAATCCCATGATGCATCACTCTCTGGGAGTCATGTCTCTGGCTGATGAGAATCTTGCAATGCCTCATGGGATTTGTAGTTCCACCACAGCTGGGGGGCCGGAGTTTGACTCTGCTCTATACTAACCTTTGTGGTGGCCCATGGGTTAAAATGTCACCTGTTACCTCCCCGGCCGCACAGTGTGGTTCTTCCCATCAGCTGTAGTAGCATATGAGCCCCTGGAAGGAACCACAGCGTGTGGTGGGGGGGACGCAGGTATTCTATAATGGTAACATGTCTGTGATACTTCTGTAATTTTAACCAGGTTCCCTAGAATGGAAGTTACATGAATAGTTATGACATCACTGAGATGGACTGGCCATTGGAGAAGGGCTGCTAAAGAAACTCTATATGAAAAGTGTGCCAACAAGAAGTAGCAGCACTTCCTGTTGCAGGCTGACAATGCCAAGCCCTTCCTTGTAATTAAGCAGCGCTGTTGTCAGCCTGCGGTCTGAGCTCCCTCAGTCAGCCAGAGCGGATAGTAAGCCCAATAGCCAACTAAAGGAGCAATGCTGGCTGGCTGACAACGCTGCTGATTGGGAGGCTGTGACTTAGCGTTATCCGCCTGAACAGGAAGTGCTATTATTGGCAGGATCTTCAGTTAAGAAACTTTGCAGCAGATTCACAAATAAATAATTGACTTAGGAAAAATCGCTGTTCGGGCAGCTTAGGGGGGAGAGCAGAGGGAGAGACTTACAAGTCTGATGACACCAGTGATGTCATAAGGGGGGTGCGGCCTGCACCCGGGTGACACCATTGAAGGGATGACACCAAAATGACTGAGTCATTTTGGTGTCACCCCCCCTCTAAAAGGTCGAGCACCTGGTCATGGACAGAGAGCCCGACAGTGTGAGGAGAGAGAAGATCCGCCGGGTGAACGTCCCCTTCTCTCTGCTGGCCTCCATCACCAAGATGGCTGCCGACAGGCCTCAATTAGATGGCCGCACATGACGTCACGGCAGGGTGTTACTCGGCCTTGGGACGCCCCTGGATGACACTCATTCATAGTCCAGAGTACAGGTTGTAGGAGGGAAAATGGCAGAGGAAGCTGCAGCGAGGAATAGAAGGGTCACCCTCCTCACCATACTGTAATGGTAGATCGGGTCACATGGATACATTTGGTGGTTTGGCGTGAATTCTGCAATTTCGCATTTACTATACCAGGTAGCAAAGTTTGAATTTCCCTCGAATGTTATGGGGGAAGAGGTTAGGGGGTGTCGAATGCTCCTGTTACTCAGGGACCACTGATTATTCAGATGTGTATATATTGTTGCAGCGCAGCTCGATCAATAAAGATGACTTGCACGGGTGAGGATTTTCTGCTTCTTTATTGCTCCTCCAGGGTGCTGAATCTGAAGCGCGCAGACATTGCCCCCTGGTGGCCATTATGTGGAATAACTTTATAATAAAGACGCCCATACAAAATGTATGTTTCCCAATTAGTATATGCATGCAACTACAGTAAACTCTCAGTTATCTGGTATTAAACTCACCAGAACTCTCATCTAACTAGAAAAAGAAAAAAAATCCCCTGTGTACTCACTGTTTCTCTGATCTGTGGCATGTATTATCCTGGAAATGATCGTGTGTCTATTTGTCTTCATTTGTTTTTGATTACTGCATTTCAGTATTAATATGATGTTAATACAGAG